TCCTACAAAACACCCCGATCAGTACTTATCAAAAGTGCCAAGATCATGAAAAATAAGGAAAGACAGATATTTTCACAGAGTCGAGAAGATTACAGAAACATAAACATGGTGTTCTGATGTGGTCCTAGAGCAGAAAATGAACATTAACGTGGGGGAGGGGGGCACCTGGGTGGCTCAGTCGGTTGAGCCTCTGACTCTTGATTTCAGCTCAGGTTGTGATCTCAGGGTCTTGAGATTCAGTCCCAAGTTGGGCTCTGAGCTCCAGAGCTCCACACCGAGTCTGCTTGTCCCCCTCCCTCCCCACCACCTGTGCTCTCTAAGATAAATAGATAAAAATCTTAAAAAAAAAAAAAGAACATTAGGGGGCAAACTGGTAAAAATCCAAATAAGATCTGTGGTTTAGTTAGTAGAATGGCACTAGCATGAATGTCTTAGTTTTGACAAATGTACCATGATTATGTAGGACATTAACACAGGGCCAGTTGGGTGAAGTGTATGTGGGAACTCTGTAATATTTTTGCAACTTCTCTATAAATCTAAAATTACTACAAAATTTAAAATTTTTTGATGGTGAGAATGCGTAAAAAATGAATCAATAGTTAATAGTATAGTCATTATAAGGCTATCAGGAGTATTTTTTTCTAATAATCAATAAAGCAGTCAGATTGAACAAAAAAAGACTAGACACATCTAGAGCAAAATGCCAATGGATATTAGTGTAAGGTAGTGGTAGACTTTTTGTTTCCAGGATTTCTAAATTTCCTTCCATGAATATGTATGTATATATATGTGTGTATAAATTTTTCTTTTTTTAAAGATTTTATTTATTTATTTGAGAGAGAGAGAGAGAGACAGAGAGAGCACAAGTGTGGGGAGGTGCAGAGGGAGAGGGAGAAGCAGACTCACCACCGAGCAAGGAGCCTAATAGGCGGCTCCATCCCAGGACTCCAGGATCATGACCTGAGCCAAAGGCAGATGCTTAACTGAATAAGCCACCCAGGCGTCCCTATATAAATTTGTTCTCATTGTTTTAAAAAGTAAACATTATTTTAAAAATCATTTGGGAGGGATGCCTGAGTGGCTTAGCTGGTAGAGAATGTGACTCTTGATCTCAGGGGTGGTGAGTTCAAGCCCCACACTGGGCATAGAGCTTACTTAAAAATCATACGGGGTGGGGTTGAGGGGGAGGGAAGTGACCTAGGCTCTGGTTTTGGATGGGAGAAAGCCTTGGGGCCAGAAGATACCATCCATTGTAATCCTGCCTGGAGCTGAAAGGAAATGAGACCAGCACTGGAGAGAAAGCCCAGAGCTTTCCAGGAAAAGTGCGGTATTGGAATGCAAAGTGTGTTCAGACTCTGACACCACAGGAGGACACAAAGGCCTTCAGAAGTTTTGGCAGTAAGTGCACTCTCTGTGTGAACAAGAAAAGCATCTCGGTGGGGTCAGCCACCTCTCTGTGTCCTCCCCGCAACGGCCGGGAGGCAGGACAAGTCTTCCAGGCGCAGGTGGCCTGTTGCCAATCACAAAAACGAGACCGGCAGAGCATGCTCACTGTGAGGCAAATGGGAAGGGGGCGGGGCAGATGGCTCTGTGCCTACTAGGGTCGCGGACACACCAGGTCCCGTAAGGAACGTTAGCACGCGGTGCCACGGCGGCAAATGTAGGAAGCAGGGAAAGGCTCGGTGGGGAGTTAAAAGCAGCCTGGCTGTGAAAGGCAAATTCAGTAGGCTGAGTACAGACAGGTAACTCTCCCTCCTCCACCTTCCAATGGTCTGGACGAGGTCATAGGACCAAGGGGAAGCTTTATACCACCCGTGGATCTCCTCCCTGTCATCAGCCAGAGAACACAGAGATTCGATTTCCTGGCAGTCATCCAGAAACTCACAGCAAGCGGATTGGGCAAAATGCAACAGTTCAGTCTTGGTGAAAGTGATGTTGAGTCATGGCTTCCCTCATTTAACCCATTCATCCTTAAAACCGGTGTTTATTGAGCACCTTTTATGTACCTGATTACAAGCATCCTGGAGCGCCCTCTCAGCCAAGCTAAGAAAAGGAGGAAGCAGACTGAAGTGGGGGGTCTGGAAGAAACAGACGAATGGATAAAGAAGATGTGGTCTATATACATAATGGAATATTACTCAGCCATCAGAAAGGATGAACATCCAACTTTTACATCAATATGGATGGGACTGGAGGAGATTATGCTAAGTGAAATAAGTCAATTATCATATGGTTTCACTTATTTGTGGAACATAAGGAATAGCATGAAGGACATTAGGAGAAGGAAGGGAAAAATGAAGAGGGGGAAATCGGAGGGGGAGACGAACCATGAGGGATGATGGACTCTGAGAAACAAACTGAGGGTTCTAGAGGGGAAGGGGTGGGGGGATGGGTTAGCCTGGTGATGGGTATTAAAGAGGCACGTTCTGCATGGAGCACTGGGTGTTACACACACAAACAAGGAATCATGGAACACTACATCAAAAACTAATGATGTATTGTATGGTGATTAACATAATAAAATTAAATTAAATTTAAAAAAAAAGAAAGAAAGAAACAGAGCTCTGAGGAGCAGGCCAGGACAAAGTCTGTTGAGCTCTCTGCTTGGAGAGATCCCTGGACCGATGAGCAGCTTAGTTAATGGGAGATGGCCTCGGTTTCTCCAGATTCATTAACCTCACCCCTTAAAAGAAAAACAAAACAGAAAAACTCTAGCAAAACAAGAGGTTGTTTCAGAGTCGAAAGGAAAATTCAGATGATACCACTGAAGCTTCAGGAGCCTTCTCTAATTGCTATGGAACATGGCCAAAGGGCAAAAGTCAAATGACAGAATTTTTTTTTTTTTTCTGTACTGACTATTGAGGACTTTCAAGGAGGAGTTAGAGGTGTTTAGGTGGCAGAGCACCTGGAAGTTATAAGACCCGAAGTAAGCTTTCTTCCTTCCCAAAGCCCCCGTTTTCTCTTCCATGGAATGGGGTGGCCACAGCCCCTCCCTCACAGGTTGAGGATGAAAGATTTATGTATAGGCTTCGTTCAGCTCTTGCCTGACCCTGATCAGGACTCACAAATATTCGATGCTAATTTCATACTGAAGCACTAGGACATGTTGATATGCTAAATTCCATCGCATAAGCTACAACTAATTTTACCAAAAGAAAACAGGACCATATTCCAGGTAGGCCGCAATTCTCACCTCATTAAAAATATGTAAGTTATTGGGTGCCTGGGTGGCTCAGTTGGTTAAGTGACTGCCTTCGGCTCAGGTCATGATCCTGGAGCCCTGGATCGAGTCCCGCATCGGGCTCCCTGCTCGGCAGGGAGTCTGCTTCTCCCTCTGACCCTCCCCCCTCTCATGTGCTCTCTCTCTCATTCTCTCTCTCTCAAATAAATAAATAAAATCTTTAAAAAAAAATATGTAAGGGGCGCCTGGGTGGCTCAGTCGTTAAGCGTCTGCCTTCGGCTCAGGTCATGATCCCAGGGTCCTGGGATCGAGTCCCGCATCGGGCTCCCTGCTCGGCGGGGAGTCTGCTTCTCCCTCTGACCCTCCCCCCTCTCATGTGCTCTCTCTCTCATTCTCTCTCTCTCAAATAAATAAATAAAATCTTTAAAAAAAATATGTAAGTTATTAAACATGTTCTTGAATTTTTAAAAATTCATATTCACTTAGCATTTGTGTATTTATCCACCAGCTGGCAAGCAGGAGCAGTTCCTGAAGGCATACAAAAACTTGGAGAAGAAACTGAATCTGAGTCCATTCTGTCCACTGACTCATAATTTCCCTGTGACATGGGACACAGCCATCCTTATTTGACAGACTCAGGACTCCTTCATCGGTGTCCTCTGGAAACACAGCCTGAGAGCCACTGGATTGCACAGGATATTTATAACCATTTTCTTGGATTTTAAAGAGAACCAGTTAGGATTCCTAATGAGGCCATGAAAATCCCCCCTGCTTCCTGCCAACCTTTCTGAGAATACAGTAAATCTAAGAATTCCCAGAACTCAAGTAAAATAGTGCAAATGTTCAGGCTGCTGAGCTTGGCAGTGTGACATGGATTCTGCTGCTCAGAGGCCCCATCATTTATCTTATCAAGTGATGGGACACTTTTGAGGGTGAAAGGAGCCCTATTAATAATCATTCCAGAACAGCAGATGTACACACAGCTTATCCTGGGCAAACCAGGGCACACACTCACCTCCTCCCCAGGCGGCCGAGCTCCCTGGATTTTTGGCAGCAGGGACGCACCTGCTTGTCCAGCCTTCTCCATGTAGTTGGTGGCGGGTCACGGGGTGGGGGAATCTCCACACACATGAGGGCGGCTCAGAGGTTGGAAATGCCAAAGCAGATCAGTACCACACCCAGGCTTTACTTCAACAGAAGAAACTGACCCTTCAGAACAAGCACTGTATTTTCCAAACGAAACCAGAGTTTGGGGTAAATATCAGAGAAGGCCTCCAAAGCCTTCCTCCCATAATTACCAAAATGACTGAATCCAGTTCATGAGCCAGGCCTTAAGTGGTGTTCCCATGCCAGGTGTGGTGGCCAGGGGCTGGGACCCACAGGAAAATCGGGTGCAGTGTTAGAGGAGAGAAGCAGCCCTCTGCCCCCATGTGCAGGTTAGAGTGACTGTGCCCAGAATGGGGGCAGCAGACAAGCAATAGTACTGGGAGCACGGGGAGCACTGGGGCAGGGGTTGGGGGGACTCCACCTGGGGAGGCCAAGGACATTTTGCTGAGGGGCCCACCCCTGGGCTGAGCCTGGAAGGCTGGGCAGGAGAGCGGGAGGCAGACAAAGAGGAAGCACCACCGGCAGAGAGCAGGGGATATACAGAGGGGTGATTTGGAGAACACAGTTAACACATTCGAGAGAGAAGCTGAGTTCTTGGTTCTCTAAGATCAGGGGCACGTGCCAGCCCTGCCCTCAGCAGCTGTGGAGCGTGAACACAAATGCAGGTCCCAGGCCCCTGGCCCATCTCAACCACGCACCGCCCGTCTCTTACCGCAAGTGGCCTTGTGAGTTGTGGGTGTCTGGACGGCTCAGCCCAGGCTCTCCACAGCAGCTGGCAGCCAGCCACCCCCTGGCTGCCCCTCGGGAGCACGACTTGATGCACCGCGTTCCCTGGGGAAGGTGAACCCAGGGCGGAGGTCTCACGTGTCCGGAAGTAGGCTCAGGGCACTCGGGTGGGTATTCCAGAATCCCAGGGAACCAGGGCATGGTTTCAGAAAGAGTGCGCAGACTCTGGGCAAGTAGGTCTTCTCAGCTCCGGAGGACTCCTGGGGCCAGAGCTGGGTCCCCTAAAGCGCCGAGCCCCAGGCAAGGACCACGACTGCCCGAGACCATCGCTGTCCTACCAGAACTTCACCCCCCACCCCCAAATCCTAACTCCCCTCTCATTCACAGGGACTGTGGCCCTACAGGCCTTCTCAATATCAGGAGCACGTTCACAAATGATCCTGCCCCACTCGAGGTCAGCGCCTCCTTGCTGGCCCTTCAAGAAAACTCCCAATTCTGGTAGCTTCCCTCAAGCACGTGATAATCCTCAGAGCCTCACCTGGAGTTTCCATCAGGGCTGTGGACTGTCACCTGGAAAAAACTCCCATCAGAGCCCACCGGCCACCCCCAAGATTCTGATTCAATTGGGCCCGAGGAGCCCAAGAGCCTTAAGGAGGAACTGTTGGTCTCACAATTTCCTTAGAAGCAAGAGGCTCTCTGGAGGCCCCTACATTTTGTTTTTTGCTCCATCCTTCGGAGAACCTTCCAAAAGAGGATTCCTGTGGGTGTTTCTGGGATGTTTTCTGTCACCACCAAGCCTGCGCCTTCTGGATGCCCCCGGTGAATCCTGCAGCCTCTGATTCAGCCCAGATTTCCAGGTGTCATCTGTAGAGTCTCCTTCTCTTAGCAGCTTGAGTTCCTGAATCAGTTTTAGGTGATGGAAATGTGTGCTTTGGAGGCTGACAAGGAAAGTCTCCAAAGGCTGGCCTTCCTGCGGGCAAGAGGCAGCGCCCTGGTCACTCAATTCTCAGAGACTGGGGGACGGGCCACCCTCCTTTAGCAGACTCAGCTTCGCTGGCTCCTTCTGTCCCTGGGACGCAGGCTGCGGAGGAATGCGTTTGGAGCCTGAAGCGTGCTGATCACCATGGTGATGAAGACGCACTACTTGGGACAGCACAGAGTGTCCTATATATTTAGCAATGGCAGTGAGAAAGGCTGCAGTTGCATTCGGTGGGGCACATTCCTGGCTGCCATGAGCATCCTGAAGGAGACGCAGGCCCCATAGAGGGGCCTGGAGGAGCTCGTGCTGAGGCCTGAAGGCCTCCCGGTGGTATTATTCAGTCTTGAGCAGTCCCGATTCGGGGGGAGGCAGCCCGGCGGAGCAAGCCTGCGTGGTTTAGAACCAGACGTTCTGACAGGCAGGCCTCGTCACGGGGAAACTGAGGCTCTCCCACAGGTGAGGCCCTACACCACGGCCAGCACTCCCCCACCGGGTTCTTGAAACGACCCCGAAAGGCAGGGATGCTTGTCCCTGTTTCTCAGATGGGAAGTGGGGCTCAGAGAGCGTAAGTTGCCTGGTGTGTGGCAGAGCCGAGAGAAGGCAGTCTTACTTCAGAGTTCTGACTGCGGGGCGCCTGGGGGGCTCGGTCGGTGAAGCGTCTGCCTTCAGCGTGGGTCATGAACTCAGGGTCCTGGGATCGAGCCCCGCCTCTCCCTCTCCCTCTGCCGCTCCCCCCGGCTTGTGCCCGCCCCGCTCTCTCACTCACTCTCTCAAATAAATAAATAAAATCTTAAAAAAAAAAAACAAAAACACCCAAACTAAAGTTCTAACTGCAACTCTCCAACTCTCTATTTCTTGAATCTGTAAAGTGGGTATAACCAAAGGTCCCGCCTTTCTTGGTAAATTCGAAGAAAACTTACGAGGATACGCGAGATGGAGGGTGGATGGCGCTGGCTGTGGCTACCGGCCCTGGGGGGGCGGGGGTGCAAGACAAGAGCAGGGAGTTACCGAGGGCCGAGGGCTTGGGCAGCCAAGGGGCGGGAAGACCTCACTGGCCAGAAGAGAGCAAAGCTCAGGGGCCCGGATGAGGCACCTGCCCGGAAGAGACTGACAGGTGAGTGAGTCCAGAAGCAAACACAGCGCACCCGGGAAGCTAGGGTACGGCTGCCTTTAACAGGTAGCATTTCACAGCTGTGGGAAGAAGGTGGCTTCCACCAGCAGTGATGCTAGAATGAAGACTGGCTCTGAAGAAAGAAAAATAGCTAACCCAGACTGAGGGGTTACCCCCACCACCGTGTTCTTTGCTCTATGCACATCATCACATCGTCTTGCTGACTTGTCACCACACACTTACAAACACATTCTGTGGTTTTTCCCATTTCACAGAAGAGGGAACAGGGACACCGAGAGAGTGTGACTTGCTCGAAGTCATCGGTTTGGATCCACAATCCGTTGTCCTTGGGTTCTCAAAGCAAGGCTCTTGGCCATGTTACAGAATATGGCTGGAATCTTACCTCCCTCCTCACAACGGCATAAACACCCCCAAGGAGAGAAGGCTTTAATGAAGAAAGTTAAACCATTTACATTTCAGAGGAAAACATAGGTGAATATTTTTATAACCTTTGAGTGGGAAAGACCTTGCAAGTATGATGTGAAAGCTAAAAATCCAAAGGAAAAGACTGATAAATTTGGCTACACAAAAGTTTGAAATTCTCTGTCAACAGTAGGACACCAAAAACAAAGGCAAAAAACTAACCACAACCGAGAAAACTTGCATCATATGTTACAAGTCCTAATATCCTAAATAAATAAGAAGTTCTTGCAAATCAATGAGAAAGAAAATGAACAACCTAAGAGTGATAAGGACATAAACAAGCATTTCATGGAATAGGAAATATAGTCTACATCACGAAAATATGTACAACTTCGTTAAGAAGTTCCAGTTAAAACAATGACATTATTTTAATCTATAAGAATTGTAAAGATTTTTAGAATGATTAATACCTGATGTTGTTGAGGGTGTGGGCAAGCATGTCCACTCATGTACCACTGATGGGCAATTTGGCAATATCCTAAAATGTGCCCATTCTTGGATCTAGAAGCCTTGCTTCTAGGAATATATACTACAAAAATTTGCAGACAAGTTCACTGAGATGTGTGTGCAAGGATTTTTTTATTGAAGTGGTTTATAATAGTGAAAGCGGGGCAGTGGGAGAGGATATGTTGGAAAGTAGGCAGATACTGGGCATGCTGGGAATTCAGACATTATACTGTGGGGTGGGATGCTTGTGAGGTATTTTAAATGAGGTAGGTAAAGGAGAAAGGGAGCATGATCAGATTTGGGTTTTAGAAAGATCAGACCGGCTGAAGTTGGAAGCACAACCCAGAAGAGTACACCAGGAAGTACACAGAGCACCAGAAAGGTTCTCTATGAGACTACTTGCTACCGTCCAAGCAAAAGACAACGACTTTGTGAATATATGAAACACCTGAATTGGACACTTTAAAGGGGTCAGTCTAGGGCATGTGGATTATATCTTAGGAAAAAAAAGACAGTGAGAGAGCCTACACACAGAGAGTGATGATGAGGATAGAAAGAAGGGTGTAGCTGCCAGAGATATTTAAACAGTGGAATAGTTTTCCAAATTTCAACTCCCAGAGCCACATTAATGAAACTAGAAACTCTCTAAGAGCTATGACCCAGTTTCCCATTTGTTGTCCTTGCAGCAAGAGGAAAATGTTATTATCTTAGCAGTTGTATAATGGGCAGGCCTCAGGAAAATCCTTTCCATGGGGCCTGGGACCCCTCATACTACCTATTTAATGCCTTCTCTCCTTGTTTTGAAAACAGTTGAGATTAACAGTCTCTGCTGGCCGGAAGGGGGTGACAAGTACTAATAATATTTTAGTTGTTTACTATATGCTAGGAACTATAAAATGCTCTACTCTTTTTTTTTTTTTAAAGATACTTCCTGGATAATCCATCCTGCTTTTTAAATTCATCTGAAGCTCAGAGGACAATGCATGGCATCCAGTGAGTGAGAGAGGGATGTAGCAAGAAACTAGGGAGAGCAGAAGCATCAGAAACCAGACCCCCAGTGGCCTTGGCAGGACTCGTAGGTGATTGCACTCGGGGCAATGCTTGGATGAGTTACATCGGATCCTCCTGCAGCGCTGAGCAGCCTTCAGTGAGCAGCCCATGCTGGGAAGGCAGGTGATGCCGGGAACCCCAGCTCTGAGGACCTGGTCCTTGCTGCCCAGCAGACAAGTCTGGCTGTCAAACCCAGCTCTGTTTCTTAACATTGTAGCCTCCGCTCAGTGATGGGGGTAGGGGAGCAGATCCAGCGCTGGGGCCACTGGTTTTCAGCATAAAGGAAACTTGTTCCTCAGCCCAAATCATTAAGGAACTGATAACAATCTGTTGCCAAGGTAGCTATTCTTTCAAGACGGTCAAACAGAGAAATTACTCAGATAGTCAATAGTGATGTAATTTTGAACCTAGTGGCCATCTGGCATCAGGTCAAGAAGCAGAGCCAAAAGTCCATGCGCATTTTTTCCTTCGCTTGCAATTTTCCTAAGAGCCCAGGCATGGGAAACTTGTCCACACCCCCTTGGTCCTTCCAGCCAGAGGGAGCAGCAGTATTTGTCACCATGCCTGGGAAAGAGAAGAGGTCCTCTGTGGAACAACTCGAGAAGGCTCCCGTGCCAAAGTCCCCGTCTTCCAGCCCTTGTCAATGCCGCCTGCAGAGGGGAGCCCAGAGAACAGCCTGTCAGCTCTTTTCAAGGCTGAGAAAGTCAGGCTTTCTGTCGCCTTGGCTGGGCTGAGGGACTTGGATCCCTGGTCGGCAGCCCAGGATTTACAGAGAGGAGCAAAGAGGGATGGGAAGCATTAGACCTTTCACTGATTGAGAACCGGGGACTCAGAGCTGGAAGAAAGCTTCACAGCCAGCCCGGTCTGTCAGCTGATGAGAAATGGAGCCCAGCGGGACTCACACCGCTCAGCGCCCAGGGCTCCTGCCCGCCCAGAGCCAGAAGGCCGGAGCAGATCGGGGCCCCCAACCTGGCCTCTCTGCGTCACGCTGGACAGTCTGCTGCATCAGCTCAGCCTCTGTTGCTGGCTCCTCGTGGCAGCTGAGATGCTCCTGACCGTCGGCTCCAGTAAAAAAAGAGATTTATTCCCCAACTCCCCGTCTACCTCCATCCGGCTGCCCGTGCAGCCGGCCTGCTGCTCCGCCGCCAGCCAGCCCGTCCCAGCGCCAGCATCCGTAGGGACTCAGATTCCTGGAAGAGCAAGTCCACACTCTCCCAGAGGTTATTTAAGACCCTGTCCGAGGGGAAAGAGAACAGCCAGACCAGGGCTCGAAATCGGGCTCTGCCACTTTATCACGTTTTATCCTGGTCAGGTTACTTACTTTTGCTGAGCGTGGATGACCTCCTTGATAAAATGGGGAGAAGAGCATGTACCAAGGAAAATTTTGAGAACTAAATGAGCATCTACAGAGCACCCACAGCAGCATGCCTGGCACACGTTACGCCCAGGAATTGGCAACTGCTTCTCTTTGGGATCTTCCGTCTTCCCAAGGGGGCCCGTCTCTTGGTGGGTCCCTCCCGGACCCATCACTTTGGCCATCTGCCCTCTGCTTTCTTTGGTGGTCCTGGCTGTCAGGGATTTTCGCTCTGGGTAAAGGCAGTTCCTCAAATGTTTGCTGAACACCCACCGTGCGCAGGCCCTGGTTGAATGCTGAGGATGCGGCCACCCCTCAGTTGTACTTCCTGCCCCCTAGGTGCTCATGGTCAAATGAGAAGGCAGAAAAAGAAGTCAAACACAGAGCAGCAACTTTGCAGGCAGAATGGGTGCAAATATGGCCTGGAGAAGTCAGAGGAGGGGTTGGATGCTTCATGACTTGAGTATTATCTCAACTCCTCTCCTGTTCCAGCAGGACTCTGGTTCTTCTCCCTGTGCCAGAGACCTGGGGGCTGGGGTTGGGAGCAAGAGTTGCCCTTGAGGGCTCCAGAGCATGGAGCCAAGTCCTGAAAGATGGTGTCTGAGGAGAAGCCTGCATCAAGAACTAAGCAGACTGTCAGTCCTGAGCCATGTTCCCAAGGAGCTGCCAAGAGCCTGAGGCAGGGATTCAGTGCACTTGATTTATTGAGGGGGTGCT